CACGAGGGTGGGTTAAACCTGATGGAGGGAGGAATGGGCGGGGGGGGGTGTTGAATGCGTCATTCGGCCACGCCGGAAGTGCGACACTGGTGGTGGCAGGACGGGGAAGTGGAGTAGGACCGGGACCGGGGACCGAGGGGCTTCTGGAGCTGAGCCCGCCCGCCCGCCACCATGACCCGCGAGCTCATCGGCCCCGCGCTGCCGCCCGGCTTCTCCCGCCACCCCGAGGCGGACCCGGATGAGGACTTCAGTCAGGGTGAGGCGCGAAGGCCCCAACGACTCCGCGGCCGCCCGCCTCAGGCCGCCTCTCCCCGCTCCGAGCCCAACGGCTCCGCGGCCCCCCTCCCGCCCGCCTCAGGCGGCCTCTCCCCGCTCCGGGCTCGGCAGCCGGGCGAGGCTTCGGGCGCCGGCTGCCTGCTCCACCGCGGAACGCGGGAGCGGTGTGTCTCTGTCGTCCCCCCCAGCACGTCGTGTGTGTGTGTGTCCTGCCTCTGTGGGCGATTGTGGCCCGGCGGGGGCCTCGGGTACGGGAAGGGTGGTGTGGTACGGGTACGGGAAGGGTGGGCGTTAAGGCAGCTCTGGCAGCTGGCGTTTGGCAGCTGGGTCTGTGGTGCCCTGCTGGAGATAACCTTTGTGGGTGGTTTTTATACTGACTTTTTCAGGAAAAAAATTAATATATTAGGTTATTGGGGAGTTCTACAGATATCAGACGGTTTTAAGCTTGTTTTTAAAAAGCTAGTGCATTGATTCGGTGATGATTTGCCTGCTGGAGTCCCGTCTGCACTTTTAGGCCTGCGTTCTTCAGTAGCTCTGCATGTGAAGTTAGTAACTTAGAAGGACAGCAGAAAAAGGCGGTGGTGAGGTCTTTGCAGCATGCCCTCCTTTGTCAAACCAAAACATTTGATGAAGCTTTCATTTTTCCAGTCAGCTTTCCTCGGGATGTGGAACTGGCCTGTGGTGGGTGAGGCTGTGGTGCCTTCCCTGCCAGGGCCTTGGGTGCTGAGAAGTGGGATCTCTCTGAGACCAGTGGACTGCCAATCTGGCTCTTCTGGAGCACAGCTCAGTTCCCCCCACTTAAACTCTTAGATGTTCTGTATCAATAATAGCTCTGGAAGCAGCACTTTTATCTCCAGGGATGGGGCCTCAACCACCTCAGTTGGGGACATCCCACCACTGAAGGATGGGAAGGAGTCCACGGGCCAGAGAAGCAACTTCCC